TTTTTTTTAGTTGTCGATGGACTTTTATTTAGTTAATTAATTAATTTACATGTATTGTTGAGAAGCGAACTTAGTGCCTCACACTCAGTAGGTGAGCAAGCGCTCTACCCCTGAGCCCCAACCCTAGCCCTCTTTATTGCCATCTGGTTTGACCTGTCCTTTATGTAGAGCCCAGCTGCTGACAAATGCTTTCATTTCATTGTTGTTTAATAGTTTTGTCACTTTTATTTTCAAATTGCTTCTTAGAAACTAATCACCTGTCCTTTTCCCCAAATTCTGTGCAAATCGTGGGTGGGAAAAGTTGTGAGAAATACTGTTTTCTAACTAAAGCAAAACAAAACAAAACAGTTTTCTGCTTTTTGAGATTCCAGGAATACATAGGTTGAACAGTGAGTCTCCATGCATCTCCTTCTTTTCCAGACTCTTTACCTGTTGGTTTATAGGAACAGGATTGTCACTTATGGGTGAGTTGGTGTCTTGAGGTCACACTGGCATGAGGAACAGTGGAGGTGGAGGGCTTGCTTTTCAACAGGAGTTGATTCTGCTCTGCTGGTCTTGGCCCAGCTTCTCTGGCCTGCCTGCTTTCCTTTGTGACTTTACTATATTGTTTTCTAACAAGATCTGTTTCCTTCCTTGACTCACTGCAGAGGGAAGACTGACCACATTTCCCACCAGTTCGTTTTTGAAACAAGCATTTGCTCATTTGCAGTTTAAAAAAAGATTTACTGATAACAGGAAAAAAAAAAAACTCCCAAAATTCAGAAGAACAAACTAGAAGAGAAATTCTAAGTTTCAGAACTCTCAGAAGCTTCTAGATGGAATTCCTTCCAGTTTCTTGGTGTAAGTGGTGCTAGACTAGTGGTTTCTGTCTTACAAACAAAGCCTCTCAACCTTCCTGTGATGTGGGTGCAGTCTGTTTCTGATCTGGCTCTTCTTTTTTGTCTGGCCGCTGGCTTACCTTTACCCTTTCCTCCCTGCCTCCTTGCCTTCTTTTCTATTCCATTTGTTCCTATTATTATTTTTCCCCCCTAGACCTTTTATAAATCACTATAATAGTGATTTAGATTATCACTTGGTTTACCTTTTTGTTCATGAATCACAGAAAATTCAACTCTAGCTAACCTGGGTAGGAAGGAAATTTTCTGGCACATGTAATTGAAAAGGCCATTGTTAGACTGGGCAGTTCACTGATACTACCAGGGACCCAGTTCTTTATTTTGTCTTCTGCAGTGTTGGCTTCATGACCCTTTTCTAGGGTGTAGGGTGATTTCTGCAGCAGATGGGACACTGTTATAATTTCTTAAACTATGTTCATAGGGAAAGAATGAATTTCTTCTCAACCATCAAATAAAAATCCTAAACTTTTTGTCAGTGGCTTACAATTACCCAGTTTCTCTGGCCAAGGAAGTGTCTTGTGCCTGTGGATTGGTCTGGATGAGAGCAGAAAAATAAGAAACTGGATCCTTGGTGACATTAGTGAGCTACTGCTTACCTGAGACAACACAGAGTCAGGGACTGTACCGGTGGAGGAAGTGCACAGTGGGCATGCGAGATGTAGCTCCAGGATCCACTGTAACTGTGCCTTTGGCTACATAAAGGAGTGAAGTATTTGTTCATATTACAAAACAGAATTTAAGAAGGGACTCGGTAATATCCTGTATGAGCAAGATAAGTATTACTAAGAGATTATCACCATTTGGCTTTTGTGGCAGTATCATTCACAATAGCTAAAATTGAAGCCACAACCTGCATTTGTCAACAAACGTGTACACACACGTACACAGGCATATTATTCAAAAAATGTAGAAAGAGGTTTATGCTGCAAGAATAACAACAGGACAGTATGTGCTTTACCCATTTGGCCTCGTTTGCTTTCTGCCTGTACTTATCTGTCTACATGTACGTTCTTTTTCTGAATCATTTGAGAACAAGTTCCATACATCATGGTCCTTTACCCCTAAATACTTGATATGGGTTTCCTAAGAATAAGGAACTACAGTGCAGTTATCAGCATCAGGAATTTTAACATTGCTGTTATCTACAAGATTTTAAATGGATTCAATAATGTCCTTAATGAATGAAAGAAAGGAATACCTCTGAGATCCCTGCACTTGAAGATTGATTGCAACATATTCACAGTAGCCAAGATATTGAAACAACCTAAGTGTCTGTCAGCAAATGAGTGGGAATACACACACACACACACACACACGCGCGCGCGAATATTTATCCCTGAAAAAGAACAACATCCTGCCATTTATAATAAAACAGGTGAACATGGAGGACCGTATGCTAAGTAAACTAAGCCAGGCTCAGCAAGACAAATGCTGCATGGTCTCTCTTGAAATGGAGGATTTTAGTAGGCTTCTTAGAAGCAAAGAAGAGAATGATGGTTACTAGGGTGCTGGGGGGAAAGGATGGTATCAATCAGAAGATACAAAGTTTTAGTTTTGTAGAATGACTAAGTTCTAGAAATGTTAAGTACAAGGTGAGGACGACTGTAGTTAATAATACTGTATTCGTTTACACTAGAATTTGCTGAGAGAGTACTTTTAGGTATTCTTACCCCCAAAATGGTAACTATATGAAGAGATGGATGGGTTAATTAGCTTGATCATAAACAGTTAACTATATCAAAACACTCTTCCAACGTATCACACTCTTCATCTTTAAGCAGTTTCAACTGTAAAAGAAAGTTCTTTATGGCACTGTTCTCCTTCAGTGTGAGATCCCGTGTATTAGGTATTTCAGCAGTTAGTTATCATGCCTCTTAGAGCTTTCTTTCTCCCAATATTTTCTTAGTTTTTCTTTCTTTTTTGGCATTGACATTATTGAAGAATATAGTCTCTTTCCCCTTTAAAAAACAACATTACTCACACTGTTGACTATTTTTCTGGAGTTATATATCATTGTTATATGATGTCTATATGAGAAGAAAGGATATCGTAGAGACGAGGGGACACAGCTGGCTCCTGGATGCACCTGGTGTTTGGACCGGGGAGGGAATGGGAGAGTGGTTGGCACTGTGGCACCACCTTCTTTTCTGTTTCCTTTTATCTTCCCTCACCAAGCTTGGGCTCTTCTCTGACATGTCCCACCATGTCCTCCACAGACCTGGCTTAATGTTGTGGAGTAAAAAGTGAGGTATCAGGCATTAATGGGCACACAGCCCTGGATAGGGTGCAGCTGCAGTCGTGAAGGATAGAGAGGTATCAGAGGACGTGGTGGGGATGAGGGGGTGGAAGGTGGCACCTGCCTTAGTCTGGGACCTTCAGAGTGGCATGTTGGTCTCTGGGAGTTAGGTGAACTAGACTTCTGCATGGGGTTCTTAGCCTCTTTTGCTGAGAAAAGAGTTGAACTGCATGTCTTGAGGGCCTGAGGGGTTTAAAGAAGTAGATGCCAGGTGTGGGGCAGAAGCAGTGGCTGTTGGGGCTTTGGTTCAGCAGCTAGTGAGCAGATTACTTCTTGTAAGGAACATAGTTTTGTTGATCCGGGGAATATAGCTGCTTGTTAATGCCTCTTGAAGTGCTCTTACTGTGCCTGCACCTTCCTCTGAGAAAGATGGTGAGACCCCTGTGCTCTGCAGGCCCTGCCCTGTTGTGGTCTGCAGCTTGAGGTGTCCTAAGCCACATCCTTGAGATGGCACTTTTGTACTGGCTGGATGTTGAATTTATATATATATATATATATATATATATATATATATAGTTATAGTTGAACACGATACCTTTATTTTATTTTATTTTTTTAATATGGTGCTGAGAATTGAACCCAGGGCCTCACACATGCTAGGCAAGTGCTCTACCACTGAGCCACAGCCCCAGCCCCGGATGTTGAATTTTTGTCAATCAGAATTTGGTATTGTGCCTAGGCATGAAAGAAACTATACTTGAGGCTTCTTGTTGGATTAGGTACAACAACTTAATCACGTTTTTGTACCCTGGTTATAAATTTAACATGTTAGGAAGAATCACAGGTTTTGTTTGTCAGAGAAAGAAGATCTGGATTCTCCTTTCAGTTTCAGAGTGACAGTAATGAACCCTTAAGCAGGGTAAGGGAGGACATACCCATCTAAGGGGCAAGTCAGTCCTGCCTATTGATGAACTTTCTCACACAGATTTGAAACCCTAGCCTTCTGTTTAAAAAAAGACTCAATTTTTACTTTATCATTTTACATAATGAAATTTGTATAAAAACTATGAGATATGCAAGAGTGCTTAGGTAACTTGAAAAAATTTTCATTTCACAGAATGGCATTCTTTATTTTAATTTATCTGGGGTATATATAGTTTTAAAGATACATATCTAAGTCATCGGTCAGTTCTGTAGTGTGGTAGATTGTCAGTTGAGTGAACATCTGCATTCATGGCCTTTTGATAAAATGACATCATTGGGTGAGGTATTGTAATCTCTTTTGTGGTGTGGGCACAGTATTAAGTCCTTCCCTTATATTGTGTCGTTATCTTATCAATAACATCATAGAGATTTACTGATAATATATTTGTATATATTTACATTCGTTATATATACAAGTATCTTTAATAAGGCATTATGCTGTGCATATTTTCTTTTAAAGGTGTAGTATGTTCTATTTCAGTAATATAATAATCTTAATGGATTTAAGAATTAGAATACAGGTAGCTACACCATTATTCATTCAGCTAATTTTCAATGAATTGATTTTAAAGTTATTTCTCGTTCTAAGTAATAATGCAGCAACACCTGTTCAAGTACTTAAAACTGTGCAGAAGTCTGATTCATTCTTTTAGAAAAGTTTCTCAGTAGAGGTTTGCTGGGTCACATATAGAATGCTTGCTTGACTTTTAAAATGATCTTCTTAGATCAAGAGAAAACTAAAACAACTCTAGGAAGAGTTTGAAATGGCCCCTAGGAGTGATATTCTGATGTTTCTCTTGTTTCCATGCTTTCTTTTGTTTTAACCCTGCATGGTTGTGTAATGGTATTCTTTTTCCCTTTTGTAGTAAGCTGTGCTAGGACAAAAATGCAATGAAAGAAACACTGGATGAATGAAAAGCCCTGCTTTGCAACCCCTCAGCATGGCAGGCCTGCAGCTCATGACCCCTGCTTCCTCACCAATGGGTCCTTTCTTTGGACTGCCATGGCAACAAGAAGCAATTCATGATAACATTTATACGCCAAGAAAATATCAGGTACTAATGAAAACACTAATACTGGAGCATTTTTTCACTAAAATGGAATAAATTAGCATTTAGTTGACACAACTTATAAAACTCATTTACCCTTTCAAGCCTCCCTCTTCTGATTAATTTTCTCATTTGAAACACTTTTGTTCTTAATAGTCTTTTTCTTTTCTAACGTCTGCTGGGTAATTGATTTGTTCTATTTATGAAATTCCTTATCCCCACATCCCCCTGTAACCTCACTGTTCCTTAATGTCCATTTGGGCGTGTCTCTCCTAATGAGCTGGGCAGGAGCTGAGGTTGGTTTCCTAGTGTTCAGTTGTGCATGGGCAGAAGCACAGTTACTGTGAGTTTAGTCAGTTGTATTATTCTATTGAAGTAGTCTGTGCAAAAAAATAGTTCTTAAATTAAATGCCATTTCAGCATCTATTTATACAGCACAGTTATGTATTGCAGGCATTTTATTCCTCTGTTATTCTTGTGTAAAGGTGTAGACAGTTTATTTTGGGGAAAATACTAGAGGAAGATTTTAGAAAATACCGAACTTTCCTAATTTAAAAATCTAATTTTCTAAATATTGTCTTTAGGTTAGGAAATGTATAATCTTGTTTTCCACCGTATTTCTAGGTTGAACTGCTTGAAGCAGCTCTGGATCATAATACCATCGTCTGTTTGAACACTGGCTCAGGGAAGACATTTATTGCAGTACTACTCACTAAAGAGCTGTCCTATCAGATCAGGGGAGACTTCAACAGAAATGGAAAAAGGACCGTATTCTTGGTCAACTCTGGTAATAAAAATTTATTTTATCAAATGATGTGTAAGAGATTGGAAGAGAGTTTTATGTTTAAGCAGAGTATCTCTGTGGATGTTAAGTTAAGGTATTGAAGGTGAAGAGAGTGACAAATATGCTTGTTGAAGCTCTGCTAGCAGAAATATTTTCTTTATAGTATTTCTCTGATTTGTTTTATTATTGTATGTCTTTTGAATGAATTAGCTTTTGGAACATAATTTGTTATAGTCATTTTCATCCTTTATGTTTTAGCTTCACAAAATATGTTAAAAGATGCTTGGATATCTTTTTGATTTGTGATTTGGCTATGCCCAGTTATAGTAAGAAAGTTATATGCTCTTAGATACTCAGTATGAGTTTAAAATACTGGTTTTATATGTTTGAGATTATATATCAAAATTAAAAATATCAAGTATGCATCTAAGCTAATAGACTCCTGAAGGACCACTCCACTCCTCATCCTTGCTTTTGATGCTGTCAGCATAGCTCTGTTCTGAGTACACATGAGACTGTCTTATTTCTTGGTGAAAATGCCTGGTGTTGTTGAGGGCCGAAGGGGTGGATCTAAAGTGGTTGCCACTCCAGCCTGGATGGGAAAGTCTGAGGTTGGAGGGAATCTACCATAACGAAGCAAGGTGGTATAAGGGCCCCTGGAGTGAGTGGCAGAGGGCCACGTGAGGAGTCTTGCTAAGTGCCTGTTGGAGGGGATTTTGACACTGGATTATGAATTGGACTGTTTAAAAACTGGTGGCTAAGTGTGATGGATGACCATGAGTGTTTCTGTGACTGTCTTAATATTAGTAGACCAGAAAGCCAATGAAGCAAAGTTTCTTATACTTACATGGAGTGTTGTATTTGTACTCAGCAAACCAGGTTGCTCAACAAGTGTCAGCTGTCAGAACTCATTCCGATCTCAAGGTTGGGGAATACTCAAACCTAGAAGTAAATGCATCTTGGACAAAAGAGAGATGGAACCAAGAGTTTACTAAGCACCAGGTAAGACTTGTAGAGAAATTTCATTTTATAAATCCTACAAGTACTTGACTTGGTTTATATGATGACCTGTAGCCTTGATTGTCTGAATTAGGCTTGAAAATTTCACTTTCCTGCTTCTCAGCCTAGGGACCAGCCCTTTCATTGTAAGGCTCATCTGAAAAGAAACCAAGTTACTATTTTGTGTTGCTTTTAATATGTAGAAAAGAAACTGCTTTCCTTGACTTTTACTTACTTGAAACACACAAGTTTGAGTGACCTGTTTCTGATTTGCAGATAACCTGCTTTCAGAAGACTGCTCTTTAGTTAAATGTATTGACTGGAGACATTTTTTTGGTTGAGGGCTTTGGATCTTTGATGGATACTCCCTCTGAGGTCCATGCTTTGTCAAGTAGCCAGCCTATGCTGAGGGCCTTTTGTGTGTGACACTAGTGACATAGAGTGATTAAGAGATGCTTCCTAACTAACTTTAAACAGCCCATAGCATACTTTTATCTCACATAATGGACTAAAGCCTTATAAATAAAGCCCTATGGTCCACAGAACTGTAGACTATGAATGGACATTTGGACTTCCAGACAAACTTATCAGTTCTGTGGGGGGAAATTTAGAAGCCATGTGAAATGTTTCTATGATTTAACAAAATTGACAGATTTTATCAGTGAGGATATGGCTATGGGAACTTTAAAACACCTGAAGGTCTCTCTTATCAGGAGGTTTTTCTCATAATTTTTTGCCCTTGTTTTCCTGATTTACTTTTTAGTTCCAATGCATGGAATTCCATATATTTAGAATTTTTGTTCTAATTTTCAACTAAAAAATTTCTTATTCCTCACATATAATGCAATGGCTCTGTGATCTGATCTCATAAGTATATCCAAGCAGGTAAATGGCATATTGGTGTATTAATATCAATTTTATTTTAGGTTCTCATTATGACTTGCTATGTCGCCTTGAATGTTTTGAAAAATGGTTTCTTATCACTGTCGGACATTAACTTGTTGGTGTTTGATGAGTGTCATCTTGCCATTCTGGATCACCCCTATCGAGAAATTATGAAGGTAAGTTTTTAGACTTTTTATCAGTCCTCATAATTCCTGATAAAACTTGAGTATATGCAGCTTTACTTTTAGGTATAAAAGCTAATAATATTAGTTAATAATATGGAGAACTAGGTTCCAGTAAATGAATGACTGATTATTAATGTTTTTATAAATCTATAATGTTTTAAACATTATACTGCAAATGAATTACATATAATAATTTTGTAGCATATTGATATACTTTTTGAAAAAACAGATCTTTTAAACACACCACAGTAATTCTATAATTTTGCTGTTCTCGGTATATTGATGTTTCCACTGACAAATGGTTTTTTAGTATTTGTCAGTGATTTTTTTTTCTTTTTTGGTTTTTGGTTTTTATTTATTTATTATTTTTAAATTTTTTTCTCTTTCAATTTTTTTTTATTAATTGCTCAGGACAATACAATGATCTTGACATATCATACATTTGATTCAAATAGGGTTTGAATTCTCATTTTTCCACGTGTACAGATTGCAGGATCACATTGGTTATACATCCATGTGTATACATACAGCAATCCTAGTGTCAGTTGTATTCTGCTGCCCTCCCTATCCCCCCCCTCCTCCTCTCCCCTCCCATCACTATTCTCTATTACTCTACTGTGACACTTATCTCTCTCTCTCTTTTTTCTTTCCTTCCCCCTCACACCATCATATATGTATTTTGTGAACCCATAAGGGTCTCCTTCAGTGATTTTGATGTTTTCATATGACAATGTCTCTGGTCATGGCCTTGCAAAATGAAGTCTTTATTGTTAGTATCTTTTGTTATGTTAGCTCTGTGAAAATTGTCCATCATGTCCTCGAATTTTGGGACTAACTGCTTCCATTTTAAATGGGAAATGTGATCCAGAGGAATTAGAAGAAAAGATTCAGAAACTGGAGAAAATCCTTAAGAGTAATGCTGAAACTGCCACTGACCTGGTGGTCTTAGACAGGTAAGCACTTCTAATTGGCTTGGCTTTAGGACACTAGTTATGTCTAATAGTAAGCCCTTAGTATCCTTTGTAATGCCTGGTGGACAGCACCTGTATCTGCCAACAGGCAGCTGTTAAAAGTAGTGAGACTAAGCGTTCTTTGTAAGTACTTGCCAGTTCCAGAAACTCACCTTATTAGCCCAGAGAGCCACAGGTGGAGGCGCATCTGCCTTGAGAGAGGACATTGCATGAGCATCAGGCCTTCCCCGCCCTGGGGCCACTAAAGACTGGGCAGCAAAACAGGTTCTCCTCTGTTGCTGTGCTTTGTTGTTCTGACCTTGAGTCTCACAGGATACTTTGAAAGAACATTAATTTTTTGAGAGGATTGAGCAATATACTTTAAAATATTTGGAAATACCCTTTTGTTTTTAAAATGATTTGCAGATTTCTGAGAAAGATGTTGTTTCTGATTTGTAGGGTTGTCTCCTTGAGGAGGTTACTATTTTGAGTTTCAGTAATATACACACAGAAATGCACACACACAACCTAATGATGTGCTTAAATTGGTGGAAGAAAACATATATAAATTAGTAGGGAAATGGGTTTTTATGTAATTATAACTAATGCAGTTCATAAAGTTTTAAACAAGCCTAAGTAGATTACCAAGTGGTGATTTTGTTTTTTGGTACCGGTGACTGAACTGAGGGGCACTTTACCACTGAACCACATCACATCCCCAGACCTTTTTAAGAATTTTTTATTTTGAGACAGGGTCTCAATCAGTCACTTAGAGCCTCATTAATTTCCTGAGGCTGGCCTCAAACTTGCTATTCTCCTGCCTCAGCTTCCCAAGTCACTGGGATTACAGGTGTTTGCCATCGTGTCCAGCCCAACTGGTGATTTTTAGGGTAGTTATGATAAATAGAAAAAGACTGATTTCTCTGGTTATGGATTTGGGTCAGACATGGGTTTGATTTCTTGCTCCACTAATTGTAAGCTGTGCGATCTCAGGCTGGTCACTTCCCTGTAGTGTAAAATGGCACTGACAGTGGTTTCATGGGATTCTTCAATGATCACGTCAGTGCCATTTTACATTACACTCAATGTCACATTGTAGTGTGCCTGGCATTTAGTAGAGATTTGGGAATTTCTCTTTGTAGAGTAAGAGGGAAAGATAACAGTTTGGACTTGGGCTGACGTATCCAAATGCTAAATGAAATACAAACCTGTGGCCTTTAGGCTCTTCTGTTTTTGAGTTTCCTGAGTGTGAGCTGTAAAAGGCTGGGGCTGGGATTGTGGCTCATCGTCAGAGTGCTCCCCTAGCACGGGCGGGACCCGGGTTCGATCCTCAGCACCATATAAAAATAAAGGCATTGTGTTGTGTCCATCTACACCTAAAAAAAAAAAAATTAAAAAAAAAAAAGAAAAAGTGTGCTTTTCTCGGACCTGAATTTTTTTACTTGGCCTGGTGTAGTGGAAATTTTTGGGAGAAGGAGCCTATTAGAGCATTTAGGTAATAACTACTAAGTGATTCTAGGAGTTTGCAGCCATTTTTGAATGTTTGTGGCTTTTAATTTACCTATTTTTTCAAACCTTAGTTAAGTGTACATTCTGATTTTGGTTAAATGAAGAGTATAGTATTTAAATATGTCTTTACTATCTTTCTGAAGTGAAATAATTGTGTGTGCTGGTAGGATATCATGCCATTCATAGTTTATGAAAGGCAGGACAGAGCCAAAGAAATCAGAAATGAGTGAAAACTGGGGGCCAGGCGGGGGTTCCTTTATGAGGATACATTAAAAATTAAAATTGACTTTCGGAAATGTTAATTTCAGAAACTTCCCTCGTTGACTTATCCCCCCTTTTCTGTTTCAACTTCTGAAAAGGAATTGTTATGAGTTCATGAGTACTTTGAACATTTTTTGTTCCTTATTCTGGCTGATAACTAAGGGAACAAATGATGGAATCTAATCCCCAAAACAAAACCAGAAAAACTCGGGATGATAATGAAATCTATCCACAGAGTTCTTTGAACACCAGCCTTATGCCATTATTCCTTGTGACCTTAACAGGCCAACGTGGTACAGATAAAAGGCACTTCCTAGTGTCACTCTGAGGCTCTCCGTGAATCGGCCTCTGGCCCACGTGGAGATACAAACTGAAACTAGTTAGATGTGCGTGGGTCGTAATGTCCTACTGGTTTTTTAAAAATGAAGCAGAGGGTGTTTGGGGAAGAGTGTGGGGCCTGAATGAAAGAGTCTTTTAGAGGAAGGCCATCCTGAGTTTTGGTAGAAACACTGAATGCCTTCGAACTCTCATTTCCTTCATAATCCTGTGTGAGGATTAAAATGAAGGTTAGGCCAGGTTCTGGCATAAGGCTCACATTGTAGTAGATGCCTGGTTTGTATTCTCTTTTTCCCTCCTCTTCCCTTCCTTTGGAAAACGTATTATAAACAATGACCTACCAGTTTGCAAATAATGTTACACATTTTTTGTGGAGAAATTGAGTAATACAGAAAAATACTAAAATAGCTACCTATAGACTTATATCATTGCCAACATTTTAGAATATTTCTTAATATCTATACTCTTGTCCTTGTTTTAGAAAAAGTTTTTTTTTTTTTGATTGTGACATTGACAACCTGTTTCTGATTTTAAAGATATACTTCTCAGCCATGTGAGATTGTGGTAGATTGTGGACCATTTATTGACAGAAGTGGGCTTTATGAAAGACTGCTGATGGAATTAGAGGAAGCACTTAATTTTATCAATGACTGTAATATATCTGTACATTCAAAAGAAAGAGATTCTACTTTAATTTCTAAACAGGTAAGCAAATACAAAGTATAATGAAAAAACTTCTGTTTATAATATTGAAATGAAGATATGCTTCTTAGAAACAAGAGGCTGCTTTCTATATATTTTAGTTTAAAGTCTCATCTTATCTCCTTGGACATTTTTCATTGTACATGTCATGCTGAATTGAAGATTGAGTTTACCTGATAGTTATTTACTTATTTACTTACTTACTTACTTATTAACTTTCTGTGGTACTGAGGATTGAACCCAGGGCCTCACACATGCTGGGCAAGTGTTCTGCTGCTAAGCTACAATTCCCCAGGCTTTCTTACTTTATATGGAGACAGGTCTTTCAAAAAGACAGGTTCTTGCTGGGTTGTCCATGCTGGTCCCTAACTCCATCCTTCTGCCTTAACCTCCTGAGAAGCTGGGATTAAAGGCTTGTACCTCTGCATCTGGCCAGATATGTATATTTTTAAGCCTGATCCTCCCTGATTGAAGGGATGAGGTAGATTCCAAAGCATGGTTATTTAAGTGAAAGGAGTGAGCCCAATTTTTTTGTTTCGTTTTTGTTCAGGTGAGTTAGTTCCTGCTCTAACCCTTGAACATAGGAATTCTCCCACTGTTTCCTGGTGTCCGACTGGACATAAGCCTGTCATCCTGAGTACTGAGTAGTACAGCTTGAGAGAGAGAGCCTTTAGGGAGGTGCTCTTAATGAGCTCCACATGGGTGGTACTAATATCCCATTTCCTAGCTTGTTAGAAATGCAAGTTTTGCCCCCCTCCACCTGCTTAATCAGCCTAGATGTGGTCCCCAAAACCGAGTTTTGATTTTGACAAGCCCACCTAATGATCCTAATGCATTGAAGTTTGAGGACCACTGTCCTAAGAGTTGGCAGCCATTTTTGGATGTTGGTATTGTATTGAATATGGGTTGTACTTTCTCTCATGCTGACTTTTTCGTGGTGTTTGTTTGTTTGTTTGGTTGTTGTTTGTTTTTTGTTTTTTGGTACTGGAGATTCATCCCAGAGGTGCTCTATCACAAAGTTATACCCCAATCCTTTTTATTTTTTCTTAGGAGGCAGGGTCTCATTAAGTTGCCCAGTATGGCCTTGAACTTGTGATCCTCCTGCCTCAGCCTCCTGAGTAGCTAGAGTTCCAGGCATGTACCGCTGTGCTGATACTCAGATTTTCAAAAAATTTTTTGAATTCTTGCTAAGTCCAAGTTCAGTTCAGCATGTCTTGTGCTTGGTGTGTAGAACTAACAGTTCCTCCATGATAGCCTAGCTGTAAGGACTCTGAGCTGGAGTTGTGAGGCATGGCACTCTGGGCAGATTCCAAGATCAGACTCTAGATTTAGCTGGGATTTTAAAGATAAGGAACTCTGCAGTTGTGGTGGTATTTTCATTGAAATAATACCAGAGAACAGTTGTACAGTGAGTTTGGAACAGTTTCACCTTTACAACCAGAAGTACTGGGCTATCGGCAGGCCAAAATTCACCCATAATCTTACTCTGTTTAATATTCATTGTAATGGAATATTTATATAAGACCAAGGAATGGTGTACATAGATAAAATTCAAGGAAAATTGTTTTGCTACTTACTTCTTGAAGAGCAAAAGTTGCTGGTGGAAAAATTGCTTTACTACATAGTTCTGCATAATTTGGCAAGAAATAAATGACTCAATTGTAGTCCCAACTAATTTCACAGATCTAAAGTTAAATTTTTCTAGGTTTCATTAACTTGGTACAGTTGCATCTTCTCTCTTTATGTTATGCCTTGATGGTTTTATGCATAGATACATGAAGTAGCAGAAGCTAAGAAGACCATTGGTCTGTCCCCCCTGAGTTAAGGAGTTAACCTCAGTGTTTATATTGGTGTGATAAATTGATTTTGAAGGGCATTTGAGGATGATTTAAGTCCCAATTAAACTCAGGTAAAAAAGCTGCCATGATATATCGTCTAGCATTTTCTTTTCTTTTTTTTTTTTTTTGGTAGATTCTGTCAGACTGTCGTGCAGTATTGGTAGTTCTGGGACCCTGGTGTGCAGATAAAGTAGCTGGCATGATGGTGAGGGAACTTCAGAAGTACATCAAACATGAGCAAGAGGAGCTGCACAGGAAGTTCCTATTGTTTACAGACACTTTTCTGAGGAAAATCCATGCACTGTGTGAAGAGCACTTCTCACCTGCCTCGCTGGACCTGAGATTTGTGACTCCTAAAGTAATAAAACTGCTAGAAATCTTGCGCAAATATAAACCATATGAGCGGCAGCAGTTTGAAAGTGTCGAGTGGTACAACAACAGGAACCAGGACAATTATGTGTCTTGGAGTGATTCTGAGGATGAGGATGAGGATGAAGAAATTGAAGAAAAAGAGAAGCCAGAGACAAATTTTCCTTCTCCATTTACCAATATTTTATGTGGAATTATTTTTGTGGAAAGAAGATACACAGCAGTTGTCCTAAACAGGTAAACCTCTAGGTTAACCTTTGCTTCCAGGTAGAACAAAGCACCTTTTCGCCTTGTGAGGCCCCAGCTGAAATGGCTCCAGAGCCAGCCGAGTGGTGTCCAGGTGACCTTTGTCAACAAGTGGATCACTTGTCACACTGCTGGCATTGCAGAGGCCATATTTGTAAACACAGTTGTTGTCTTTTAAGGCCATTTGACATGACCAAGAGTTTTGTCTTCAAGGATGTTAATCTGTTCTGATTTAAAATAGGGAAATAGAAAGATTAAGTAATATTTCAGTAAAGTATTCCTTGTTTTGTATTTGATTGTTAGATTCAATTGAGATATTTATTCACCTTTAATTAAACATTAGCCATTGTGTTAAGCATTTCACATCAAGCTTTCTCCTTCAAGGGATTTTAGGATAAATTTTATCTGAGTTTTGTGGCTTTTTTAATGTGAATTTTTTCCTTAGTGTGATATGTTGAAATAGCTTTTTAGTCTTGTTCTTATTTCCTGGTGTACAGCTCTTTAAAATCCTTAGAATCTTCACGGTGATATGTAAGTCTCTTTGTATGCTAATGATGTGATTTATGGCTGCCAGCCCCTTAATAGCTTTAGGATGGGGCTGATCCCTGGAAAAACTGGCAAAATTAGAGGCTTGGGACTTTTACTCCTACTCCAACCTGCATGGAGGAGGAGGGACTGAACCTGAGTTGGTCACCAACAGCCAGTGATTTAGTCAGTTCATGCCTCTGTAATGAAGCCTCCATAAAAACACCAAGGGACAGGGTCTTGAGAGCGTCAGGATAGCTGGACACATGCAGACTCCTGGAGTAGCAAGCCTGGAGAGGGATGGAGGTCTGCCTCCTACCATAGGCTTCCTCCAGGGCATCTCCTCTCCTGTCAGAGTTCTTTGTACTAAACTGGTAAACCGGAGCCTTACTGACTTCTCTGGATCACTCTAGCACTAGAAGCCATCTGGGGTAAAACCACCAGGGGCTTTGGTTGGCATCTGAAGTTCTGGAGTAGGCTTAGGGGCTTTGCCTTACAACCTATAGGATCTGACCATACCCAGGTAGATAGTGTCAGGATTAAATTAGAGAGTATCCCCCTGGTGTCTGCTGCTGCAGAATTGCTTGCTTGAGAGGGGAAAGTCCCAACCCTTTTTGAGGTCACAGGAATCTTCTGGGTTGACTGCTGTGGTGTGGGAGCTGAGGCAAGACTGTTTATTCAGCGTGCTAAATAGTTATGAGTTGTGCTTTCGACGAGGCAGTGGAAAAGCTGAGAACTAGATTTGCAGTATGAATTGGATTGTCAACTATGGGTTAAAATCTTCTGAGTTAGAAGAGAATAATGTTTGGAAGGATTCTGAGAATATTAGCAAAGGAAACAGTGAACCTGCATTTTAGGTTATGGATTCCAACTCCTTCCCCTTCTTCAATAAAGGCTAGTTTTTCCTGAGTATAGAGCAGCCAAAGAACTATACTTAAATTTGTGCTAAATGGTCACCTAACATGTAACCCTTTTAGTTTGTGGATGGATAGTCTATTATTTTCGGCCAAAAAATGGTCCATATTTTGTACTTAAGACAATCAGCTTTTCTATGCAATCTATTAATTGGCTACAGTTGATCTCTTAAGAGCCTTTTCTGCAGGTGGTGATCTCTGAGGAAAAATTAAGCTTTGTTTCCTGAGGTAATTTGGGATTTTTTTTTTTTTAACTGCTTCTGAATGTTTGGGGGTTTTAAATTTTTTTGAGTAACGAGAAATTGGACTCGAGGGTAGTCATCTGGCAGTTTTCAGTCTGGTAATTTTTGTAGTCAATTGAGCCTGAACTTTCTGATGAATATGAAATAAAATAACTTTAGGTACTGAATTACCTTTAAATCAGAAGTTTAAGGTTGGAAAGGGACCTCGTTGACTATCTAATCCAGCCCACTTATTTTTATAAAAAAGAGAAAGTGCCCCAGGAGGAAAAGTGATTTGCTCTACATTAAATTGCTAGTTAGTGGCAGGACAATTCTAGAATCCTAATATCCCAACTCCTAGTTTCCATTTCTTTGTACAATCATCATGCCCCTGGGCCTCACAACACTGGAAACCAGTGCTTCCCAGTGGGAAGATGGCCAGGAGACCTGCACAGGACTGACTAGGGATTATTTCTTAGAATGGGAAAAAGGCATTTCTAGGGTCATTTTCTGGGGCTTGGAAAGAAGAATGATGCGAGTTTATTTTCCTTCTCCCATTTCTGTATAGTCCCCTACAACTGCCTTGTGTGGTGGGGGGTGGGGGCTTGATCTGAATGTTGTTTTCATGTAGAGCTGTGTCAGTTTTCATTGCAGGAATATTAGCCTGGAAAGGTTTATCCAGAATCAATCAGTTACTTCCTATTGACTTTAAGGATCAGATTAATTGTGATCAGCTTTCATAAAATGCGGCTGGAATTTAGTGTTATAGGATGAATCAAGAGCAGTCTGAGGTTGACTTTATGGGCAGCTAATTAAATATACAATAGAAGTCTTGTTTCAGTAAGCTTTTTAATAAGCTTAGAAAAACTTCCTGAAATCCAGATTCTTTCCTTCCATCAGTTTAATGGGAGGAAAACCCTCTTTCGGTGGCTAGTTTCATGGGAATGTAAGCTCTTTCCGTGCCCATCTAGTTTTCTGTTCTTCTGATGGGAGAGCTCGTTCTCAGCTGCTTTGGGTGTAGTGGAGGTATGTGCTCACCCCGTGTTTATGGCTTTCCCTTTTAGCATATATAGAGTTCTATAAGTTACTTTTAAGTATGCTTAATTTTTTTTTTTTTACAGCACACCATGAGGAAGGAAGGTAGATAGGTGTTCTTAACCATTTTATAGATAGTTATGACCAAGACTCAGTTTGTGATCCTGCCAAAATTAGCAGATATCAAGTAGTAGAAAATGGTTCCCGATTGGTCACCAAGTGTTGTTTTTTTCATCCTGTGATTTACTAGTATTATGAGATATCGGCATTGAACAAACCCAAGTAATTCACATCCTGTCTCTACCCCTCCACACTTTTTTCCTAATTTTTTTTTTTAATTTTGTTTTGGAATAGTTTTAGATCTATGGAAAAGTTGGAAAGACGTTACACAGTGTTCTCATGTTCATCCCCAGACTTAGCTTCTCCCGTTGTCAACATGTCACCATTTGTTATAACAGAAAACTAACATGGCGCCTTGGTCCTTACTAAACATGAGGCTTTTTTCTACTCCCATTCTCTTTTTAGTCCCAGGTGTCATATGCATTATTGTCGCATCTCCCCAGTGTTCTCTGGTCTGTTTGCAGTTTCCCTGTCTTCCCTTGTTTTTCACAAGCGTGGCCAGTCTCGAGGAGTACCTCCAAGTGTTTCATAGAACATGTATTTTTTATCAGCGTTGACCCATGTTTATCTTAGACTTCAGGTTCTAATTCATACAGTTACTGGTTTTGCTGCACACACTAGTGCAGCTTTAGCCATCATGAGTTCATTGAGGGCT